GTCCCCACCGTCAAATATGGAGGTGGAAACATTATGCTTTGGGGGTGTTTTTCTGCCAAGGGGACAGGACAATTGTACCGCATCAAAGGGAGGATGGATGGGGCCGTGTACTGTCAAATCTTGGGTGAGAACCTCCTTCCCTTAGTCAGGGCATTGAAAATGGGTCGTGGTTGGGTATTCCAGCATGACAATGATCCAAAACACACGGCCAAGGCAACAAAGGATTGGCTCAAGAAGAAGCATATTAAGGTCATGGAGTGGCCTAGTCAGTCTCCAGACCTTAATCCCATAGAAAATCTGTGGAGGGAACTGAAGGTTCAAGTTGCCAAATATCAGCCACGAAACATTAATGACTTGGTGAGGATCTGCAAAGAGGAGTGGGTCAAAATCCCCCCTGAGATCTGTGCAAACCTTGTGGCCAACTACAAGAAATGTCTGACCTCTGTGATTGCCAACAAAGGTTTTGCCACCAAGTACTAAAGCATGTTTTGCAAAGGGATCAAATACATATTTCATTCAGGATAATGCAAATTACTTTATAACTTTTTTCATAATGCATTTTTCTGGATTATTTTGTTATTGTTGTGTCTCTCACTGTTCACTTAAACCTACCATTGAAACTGTAGACTAATCATTTCTTTGTTAGTGGGCAAACTTACAAAATCAGCTGGGGTTCAAATAATTTTTTTTCCCTGACTGTATTTCACTTTCTGTTACTGGGACTGATGGACTGATTTATTACAGCCCCTATGACAAACAGTTTTCTAATGAGATGGCACAAGTAGTGCCACATATTGTGTGATCCACGTTATCGAAGACTGGTTCCTTTGTTAGGACATGTTATTGTAAAGCCAGTGTTGATTTTATATGTTGTGTGCTTGTTTAAAATACAAGTTCACTTGACCTGCAAACATCTTTGTATTGGTGTCTTTTTTCTTAGTTTTGTAATAGAGTAGAGTAGAGTAGGTACTTTATTGATCTCACAGTGGGGAAATTTCTGTGTTACAGCAGCAATAGAGAACAACCAACATAACACCATAAGAACAGACACATAAGAACAGCACTTCATAAAAACACGGAAAAGAACACGACGAGGACACAGCTGCTGTAACTTGCTGCCACTCCGCGGCGCATGCATACGTAAAAGGAAAATGTTGAAATGTTTGATGAGGCCAGGCATGTGGATGGCATTTTGCCCTGAGTGGAGCTTCACAGGTAACGCTTGTTGCTGGAACAGTAACATGTCGTCTTTATTGCACCATTCTGACGAAATCAAAAGAGGATACTGTATGTTTATCTTTCTCTATGACAGGGCAGTTGTGGAAGTAATATTGATACATTAGGTATAAAAAATGGACCCTGTCAGTGTTACTTTATGATGTGATCGGCTGATTGACATGTACACCATGTACAGTTAGAGGCTAATTTTAATTGCTTCATTCACACTGATCAGTTTAATCTGTAACAATGCATCATATCGGATGCTGTGAATGGAAAAGTCTTATATGAAACATAAACAATAACTATAGCTGTTAAATAAAGTCTGAAATGTAGCACAGTTTAAAGTGAAAACACTCAAAGTACCCTTATCGGGCTGCATACAAATTCTGCCTTAAATATATCATTATCTGAAGTATCCTCTATATGGACCTTGATGGCATAAAACTGTTGTAGGAGGAAATCATTTCCAGTTTACATAAGGATCATCTGCCAGTGCAAACACGTAAATGTGGGCCGTGTCCCCGCCTCGACCTATCAGAAAGCAGGCCGGAGTCCACACCACTGCGACTTCGGTGCAGGTTGTGGCTTGTTTTGCCACATAAATAACAACAACCGAAGCCTGGGCTAACATGTGCACAGGATATCTGTTAGACAGGGAGAAAGAGCCCCTTTCAAACACATTAAAAGCGGTCTGTTAGCGGAACACCCTTTTCGTTTGTTGTGTATAACTTATAAAGAGAAAACTATAGCAGGTGCAAGCAGCGTCATGTCGGTCGACAGCGTCTTTAGGACTCGCTCTCTCGGCGTGGCTGCCGAGGGTCTGCCTGATCAGTACGCCGACGGCAAAGCAGCGAAAGTCTGGCAACTGTACATCGGAGACACGCAGAGTAGGACGCAGGAGTACAGAAGCTGGCTGGTGTCTCTGCTGAGAGAGGCAGGGGTGCGGAGAGTCCTGGATGTGGCCTGTGGAACAGGGTAAAGTCATGTCAGGCCAGCTCTGCAGTTTAACAGTTGTGAGCGTTTCCGTTTTAGTTGGTGTGACATTAACGTTAACCAAACTCCATTAAACATTAGTTGGATTTTATGCGTCCTTCTATGTCAGCAAACGTAATACATTTAGTCCTAACTTTTATTTGACTTTATATCTGCCCAAGTCAGTCTTTAATTCGGCATTCGTTTTATACACTGTCCACATTATTTAAATTATGTCAGCTGTTTCTTTTTACGTAGTGTAGTGTTTCTCAGTTCAGTTATTTGTTTTCACTTTCTTGTCCCTGATAGCACTGTAGACAGACAAGATTATTTAAACCCACATAAATCAGTTCAATTAACTGTCTAAAACTGTTAAACTACAATTGTCTATTTTGTACTTCAGTGAGTTTTTTTTAAATATATATTCAGGTTTGTTTTCCTTTCCTACTGGCTGGACAGCAAACGGATTAGGCCAGAAAATGATGGAAGAAAGTGCAGAGTTGCACCATACACTAGTTCCGGCTTCCAGCATCAATCTGGGACCATGGGTTAAAACATATTGATGGAACTGTGTGGTATAGTAGATAAAGACGTTTGCATATTGCAAGTAGTAACATTGGTTAATCACTAGAGGGAGTTGGATCCCCTTGTGGCTCTTATATCTAGATGTGTACTTAGGGGGCGCAGGGCAAGAACGTGGGAAGGAATGATGGTAGACCTGATGTTGCCCTTTATAGAAACTGTGAGTTAAAGTAAAGTATACTGGAAGCCTGGACGCCTAAGTTCTATTATTTCACCTCACGATACCACAAACTGTTTTATGTGTTATTATAAGGATGATCATAGCTGCTGACAAAATGACAAGATCTGAGTGTTATTCTACAGCTCTGCTTAACTACTGGCTACTAATGTTGCTTTCGTCAACGAAAATTATGACTAAATATCGTCGTCAACGAACCTTTATCGCGTGACGAAAACGAGACGAGACGCAACGAAAATGCTGGTCATGTGACGATGACTATAATTAAATATATAATGCAATATTGTTGACGATAAAAAACGAGATAGTCGTGTTATTATTATTATTTTGCAGTATTTCTGTTTCCTGTGTCTCGCTTCAGGGGCCGCATCAGACGCGTCGCACTGCGCAGACGCAGGCGACGTCACTTCCTTAACCACCACTCGCGGCATTATTGAGAAGACGACAACAAACCAAGTTAAGTCTGACATAGAGAAAGGGACCGATGGCCGGCCAGCCGGGATTTGTCATTGGGAGAAAAAGAAGAAACGACATTTGGAAAAACTTTAATTACATAGAAGTGGAAAAGAAAACGGAATTTGTTGTGGAAAAAGATGGGGAGAAATGCGGCCACAAAATCACACAATGTGTATTGGATGTACTCTTGAGTCTATAAGGTAACAATAATATAATAAGATAACCTTGTTTGAAATGGGTTTGACATCTATACTACTAGGTACTTATACTCTATAGACTGGGTTAAATAGAATTGCATTACTAAAAAGACTAAAATACAATTCTCATTGACTAAAACTAGACTAAAATGTCATCAGTTTTCGTCGACTAAAACTAGACTAGACTAAAAAGAGTATGAATTGACTAAAACTAATAAAAAGTAAAATGACAGCTTCACACAAAGACTAGACTAAAACTAAAATGAAAACAGGCTGCCAAAAACAACTATACTGGCTACTGCATAGGACATGTGTTGTTTGTAAAAGCTGGAAGTTGGCTGAATGTTCTTTGTGTGGGAAAGCAGATGTTTGTTTCAGCAGGTGTTAGAAGGGAGTTTTGACTGGTCCCCTGCAATAGGCCCTATGTTTACTGTCACTGATTGTGTATCTGTTCTCTGGCACAGTACAAGGCCACTGGTTGCATTCAGACAAGAAGGAAATGTGCTTTAACATGTCTGCTGAGCTCAACAGTGAACCTTGTTTGGTGTTTGGGGAAAAATGTAAAGGAGACACAATATTATCATTGATAATAAACCTAGATCCACTTTCTTAAAGTCTGGTTAGTTGAACCATTTGGTGGTTCAACTAACCAGACTGGTATGGTGCCAGATCTACGGAAGAGTATTAGGGCCACTGCATAATTTTTTTTAAAATTCTGACTTTATTCTCAGAATTCTGACATTAAACTCAGAAGTATGGGTACCTGTAGGGATCCAAGTTCAGTGAGTGCCTTTGAGTCATGCTGGAGAGGAGCTACGTGCTGCCCAGAAAATGTCGGATATAAGTGAATTTTTGCGTGGTCGAGGAGTCCCAGAAGAAGCTATTTCATTAATGGAAGAGGAAAAGGTGAGTAAAAAGACTCATGTGTTACTTTACTGTCTGGCTTATTCTAATTTGCCCATGGGGGTGAATATATTTACATTTATTACATTACCAACTTGTTGTTCTAATCTCCTGTGGACCGGTAAAACCGACTATGTCCATACCCTCTGAGGTAACACCAGTAACGTTACAGT